TTGCTGCCCAGACGGGTCTCGAACCTGCGGGCTCAGGCAATCCACTCACCTCAGCCTCCCAAAGGTGCGGGATTACAGGCTGAACCACTGAGCCTGGCCACAATGACTTTCTAAATAATGAAAGTTTCTGTCTAACTAGATTTGGGCTTTTCTTAGAACATCATGTCTGTGTTTTGGGTAATTCCCTGCTGTTTTTGTGATTTACTGTACTGGCCATTACATACTCCAAACTGCAAGTTGGTCAGGTCTGATCTGGGTGGTTGAACAATTACCTTATTTATTTTATTTTTTAATTTTTTAGATTAGAAAATATAGTTTATTTAGAAAGTAAGCAAGAAAGAGAGAGAGGGAATTCACCTCCCCAAAGTAGGGGAGGGGGCCAAAGCCAGGAAACATGGCGACGGTCATAGCTCGAAGAACATGTGGCCACACCACAATTTAGTAAGGCAACGGCCCGATTACCCTATTTTAATTTAGATCTGGCTGAGAAAACCTGCCCAACTACATCTAAAGTATGTTAATTATGCCTGTTTCAACCTGACTTGTGTGCTGGGGACTTTCTGCGGACTACCAACACAGCCTGCCTCTGAAACTGCTCCTTCCTTGATAGAAAGTTCCAGAAGGATGATAAGGTAGCCAAGCCTTTTCATGGGTCACAGGAAAGCAACAGATGGCCGCATGTGGGAGAAATCAGGCAAACAAATAGAATAGCCAGAGAAGGGAGTCATCAAATAATAGCACAAAACAAACCTGCCTGTGAACATGTATGTTATAAAGCAGAAAGGAAAAGGGGAAAAAAAAAGTGATCATTTTAAGAATATACGACCCAATGCTGTGTGAATATTTATTCCCCTGGGCAGAGGAGGGAGGGTCACGCTCACAGCTGTAAAATCTGGGCTGGAGTCTGCTGCATAGCTCATATCACGTGAGGTTTTGGAGCGTGATTCAGAAAGTGCAGCAGGATACTTGTCTCCTCTGACTGATGAGCACTTGCTGTCTGGCACAATTTGATGGACTTTTCTTCATTTTCTTCATCTGTAAAATGGAAATAATCCTACTTCACAGCTTTCAAAGAAAAGGAAAACTGGGCCATGTGCAGTGGCTCCTGCATGCCATCCCAGCACTGCTGGGAGGATGAGACAGGAGGATGCCTTGAGCCCAGGAGTTTGAGACTAGCCTGGGCAACATAGTGAGATCTCATCTCTACAAAAAAATCAAAAGTTAGCCAGGCGTGGTGGCACATGCCTGTAGTCCCAGCTACTTGGGAGGCCAAGGTGGATCCCCTGAGCCCAGTAGGTCAAGGCTGTGGTGAGCTGTGATTGAGCCATTGCACTTCAGTCTAGGCAACAGAGTGAAACCCTGACTAAAAAAAAAAGAAAAAGAAAAGAAAAGAAAGAAAGAAAGAAAGAAAAAGAAGAATTATGAGCATACATCACACATTTTAACATCAGGAAAAGAAACTTCTGCCAATTTTTCTAAAGAAAATTGGACAGCCTTGAATCTGGTGTGGACATCTTCAAAAGATGTTTATTGACATTTTTTTTTTTTGTGGGTACAAAGGAAGCTACAAAGGTTAGGAATAATAGAAAAGGAAGTAAAGCTGGGCACAGTGGCTCATGCCTGTAATCCTAGCATTTTGGGAGACTGAGGCAGGAGAATTGCTTGAGCCCAGGAATTCGAGACCAGCCTGGGCACCTTAGCGAGAGTCTGTCTCTATAAAAATTAAAAAAAATATATATATACACACATATGTATATGAAAAGAAAATACAGACTTTTTTTTTTTGAGTTGGAGTCTTACTCCATCGCCCAGGCTGGAGTGCAGTGGCAGGCTTATGCTCACCCCAGTGTCCACCAGCTGGGCTCAGGTGATCCATTTACCTCAGCCTTCCAAGTAGCTGGAACTACAGGCGCGCGCTACCACGCCTGGTTTTTTTTTGTTTTTTTTGTTTTGAGTTGGAGTCTTACTCTGTCACCCAGACTGGAGTGCAGTGGCCGCTCCCGGCCACC